GAACGTTTTTCATTCATAAAAAAATAGAAGGGGGAAAAGACTGACGGGTGGGGCCGGGGCAGCGCAGGATTTAAAGGGGCCGCGGCCCTTTGCAGGAGCAGGGATGGGGGTTTAACGGGCGGCCTTGGGGCGGGGGAGGGAACAACCCTCGGATCCGAGTCCAGGGTGGCGAGCAAGGACCGGGTCCAAGCACGACGTGCCCAAGAACCTGCCACACAGCAAGCCGTGCGGATCGCACGGACCTTGGGCCTCACAGGCCGTGGGGTCCCCTCTGCTTTCTTGCGAGGTGGTTTCACACAGGCAAGGCAGCGTCACACGAGACCCCCTGCAAGCCCAGGGTTAACCCATGCCTGAGTACTGATTTTGGCAGCCTTCCCCTGCAGGCACCCTGGAGCCAGGGTTGCCTTTAAAAAGGGGAATGAGTAAAATAGTTCCCACCTACAAGGGCTTTGGGGCCACATATCCCTCCAAGCAGATTCATGCACGCACACCCTTGAAGGACACCAAACATCCCAGAGGTTTGGGAATGAATTTAGCACACGATGGTGCTGCTGGGTGCCTGCCAGGCTAACAAAGTGGTGAGACCTGCCATGGGGGCCTGGCAGTGGCTGCTCAGGGAGGACGCAGCAGTTTGCACAAAACAAATGGGCTGCGTGGAGGCCTCACATTGTTTTGTTGTGGAGAGACACTAGGAAGTTATTGCCGGGAAGGCAAAAACAAGGTGTTTGGTTACATACTGCACATCTCACTTCAGGAAGGAGAGGAACCTTCTGCTTGGATCCTGGGAAGCTGCCCAGGGATTAGCAAGCCTGTCGGTACAGAGATGTCCTGGCCAGCTTGAAATCCTCAGGTTTGTCGATGTCCTAGGCGAGCTGCCCAGCGTGCCTTTGGGCTGCTGGTAGGAACTCCTCTGCCCATGCTGGGTTCCTAAGGAGCTGTCAGAGTCCTCCAGGACCACCTCCACCCCCGGGGCATGGCAGGCTGCTCATCTGGATCGTGTCCCGGCTGGAATGAGGGGGGGCTGGGACACCCCTCGTGCTGGGGGC